CGAATTTTTGGGTGATGTGCCCCCTTAAGTGAATTTCGAGCTACGCGTAACTTACTTGTCGAGTTGAACATTCCTCGGGAACGATCGGTCGGCATAGCGGTCCACCGTGAAGCCCGTCAGTACTCGCATGAAGCCCCTGTGAAACCTCACGTGCATTTTACAGTACAATCAATCATGTTCGTGATTTTTTTAAGCGATTATCGATTGGCTGTTGTGTAGTCTCCGAATATTGTGGAAGAGAGCACATACATGTACATAATACAAGTACAGCAAAACCTGGTGTAAGCGACCTCTGGGTTTAGTGACCACCTGCTCTTAACGACCGTTTTTCCATGCACCGGCAGCTCTACACAGACACTGTGAGACCTGGTTCTAAAGACCACCTGGCTGTAATGACCGCTTTTGCTTGCACCGTGGGGTGGTCGCTTAAACCAGGTTTTACTGTACATAGAAAGCGTGAAACTCAGTACCAACACTTTCGCAACAGCGACCAAAGCTGACCAAAAGTGGCATCTTGGCTGGCAGGTTTGATGTGAACTGTCCACTTCTCCACACTGCGTCCGTGGCCCACATTCAAAGCACTGTACTATGATTTTGGCGAGGAAGTGTGGAGAGGTTGGGGGATACGTATGTAGTGCTGTTCAGTTGTCTGAAGATTGCCATCTGGCATAAAACTTTTAGTTACAACAATCCAGACTCGTGGTACTCTGTGACTCGTGTGCATTATGTGACCCCTTGAAAGTACAAAAAAAACGCAATTTTCTTAACTTCGAGGCCCCAAAAGTACAACAAAACGCATACCGGTAAGTATCCTACATACGAATATCATTTCCATTGTGTATGCATGCTAGAGAAAAACTTAGAGCAGAGAAAACAGCACTTCTTCTGTAAACGTTTTTTCCACCTCCAAAGTGGTTTGAGCTACAAGTACATGTACATGTACCTTAACACCAAGAGCGAAACGGATAGCGTTGGCTGCAAGTCCATTCTTGTCATCAGTTTTCTCTAGGAAGTTACATGTACGTGAATCCAGGATACTCACATTACAATAATCGAATGTTTGGTGGACAGAACTGAGTACTAGTACCCAGTGCTGCTGCTACTAAGTCTGTGTGGACTACGGAAAATTATTTAGAATCTCCTGGATGATGCGACACCGTGCACACGGCCTTTTTCGTTCCTCTTGCTAGCATAGTAAGCATCCCACGTACGAATATCATTTCCATGGTGTATGCAAGTGGGATGGTCTTAGACCATGATTGAGAAACAGAGAGTACCAGGTTCAAGTCCTGCTTGGAAGCGGAAGGATTTTTTCCAGCCGTGCTGCAACCCACAGTTAATTGGGAACTCGTGGCCTGGCACGAGGAGAGCATGGATGCAGTGAATGGGATTTTCGGTCTTTGACCACTTACTGGTGAGCTGATCTACTCATCTCCCACCGCTTTAGGAGCTGCATCTGCGCCTTGATCCTTGAACTTGAAGGGTGGTGGCGTGCCTACGGATGCGGAAAGCTCGGTTTCCAGCCGAGTCTCACGCGAACCGTGAATTTTTAAATTTTTTGCTAGATACTGCGACAAATTATGCATTGGGAGATGATCCAATATACAGTATCAGCTCCCATATGTAAGACTTCTAAGTGCGAAATCGGAGGAGCAAGTCAAACGTTCAGGCAGCACAGCAGCACAGCGGGCGCTCAAAGCGGGAATCCAGCTTATAGACGCCACAACGGTGTCGTGTTACTAGTATTCACAAAATGACACTAAAAGACGACAGAAAACAGCCGTTACATAGCCTAATTCTAGCCCACATTATACCGAACGGTCGCCGGATTGCGTCCATCACGGCACGGTGTGAGCGCATACATGTACATGATTGTACATGTATGTGTGCATGCACATGTACATGTACATGCACTGGGTGTGATGATCAGTTTACATGTACATGATTGTACAGTTTGTACATGCATTGTTTATCAAGACGCTCCATTCTCAACTCTCTATTCCTCCATGTGGATGCTTGGTTCGCAAAAATGTCGGTCTAGATGCTTGGCTCGCGAAGAGGACTACTGAGTATAGGAATACAATGTCATGTACTTGGCTCGTGGACCCATTATAGCTATAAGAGGGAATCGTTCTACGGGTGTACTTGTAGTTTGTAGCGAGAAGCGTTCCCACAGTTTATTCGTAGACAATTTCCACGTGGGATGGAGTAGATATCCCGTTCTGGCATTGTCCGTCATTGTAATGGTCATAGAGTCAGACAAGAAAGGGTCAGAACATTCCGGTATCCTTTGGTAAGCTCCCTCAAACAAGGGGATTTCCGTCTACCTCTGAGATCATAGTGGACGTAGGGCTTCTTCAGCTATCTTTACCACCGCGATGCAGCGTGGCACTAGTGACATTGGTTGGTTGGTTGGTTGGTATATTTTATTCTACTTCGCCAGAATGAACAGGCATGGCTGCCTTCTTGCCTGGACAAGTGGATTGTCCAAGCTCTCACAAAAAGACGAAGAAGGGGAAGAAATATTACATGAGAGTGTGAAGCATGCAATCTTATAAGAGAAAATTCCATGAGAGTGTGACGCATGCATGATGAGAGAGGGTAGATAGATACATGTACATGTAGATATAGAGAGAGAGAGCATTGCTGGAATTAGCAAGGACAAAGTAGGCGACGAAATCTCCGAATTTGACCGTCTCCAGAGGGTTCGGATCGACGGCGCACTAACGCTCTACTGCCATCGGACTGAGCCTCTGTACCTTGTCAGTTGTAGCAAGTGGAGGCCATGTCCCAGGGATCAGAGTGCTTTGACGTGCAAACCTCTGTGCGTCAATGTTAGTGCTTGCTGTAGCCCGCACAGGCCTAATAAACACCCAGCTGAAGTGAACAGTTGTCGGCCATTGTGTGCTAACATGATTATTGCAGCTGGCGTTACCCAAGGATGACCAGCACTCAGAAGACAATCGTACGGGAAGTACTGGCAGACACTGGAACAAGAAGTCAGCCAAGCGAAAAATCAACTTAACAGTACACGATGTACCTGAGGTGCAGTGCTGGCCAGAGAAATCCAACCTGGTGAACAATTCGGGTGGCGCTGATCTCGAGTGCACAGAACACTCTTGTGCATCTACGCGTACTTGTATGTGTAGAGCAAGGGCTGCGTGACGGCCTGCGCCTCTTGTTCATAATACACCTGTACGGTTGGATTTCCCTGGCCAGTAGTCCAAAGCCGTAGCTGTCACGCAGCAGTTTCTGGATCAGGTTGCAGATCTGAGTACAGGAGTAACCCAATAAACGAAATTGCAGCTTGACTGCTCACGCTTGCCATCTGGCCATACAGGTACATATGTATTACAAGGTGAGCAAGGTGGCAACGTCGGGTGCAGGATCCAACACGTCTGGTGCAGCACGGTGTGATTGTTGCCTTCTCTTGTTCCGTTTTTTCGAAAACAAAGTCCTGTTCAAAATGAACCGGTGCAGAAAAACTAACAATGTCGCAGCTTCCTTGTTCCGGACTAGTGATTGTACTATTGTACTGGCCGGTGAGCGTGGTGTGAGGCCACCACGGAAACCTAATAAGATTAGGATGTTGGTGAGGTCCGCACAATTACCCCGCTGCCTACCTTGACGCATGCATGTGTGCCATACGCCTTAAGTTAAGCGAGTAGCTCGAGTTACTGCTGGTCGCTCTGCTCTCCCTCCCCGTACAGTTCAATAATCCTCACGTAGTGTTACAGATACATCGTATCCCCCCCCCCTCCCGCCTACTCTCAATCCACAAAGAACAAAACAGTTCTGTCCGCAGATTGAGTGTACTGTCTTGTCGTCGTACTTGTAGATCTGATCTACTTCGAGAGTCGTCGTGACAGACTAAAGAAAACTGGCTCGGCCTTTGGGATACGAGTACAGTCGTCCAGACATGTAGTGATGCACGTACTAGTAACCACTGGACAGAGAGCACTATACGCAGCCTGACCATTGTATTTGTAGCCATGTATATAATCATTGAAACCTGTCTAAGACCACCCAAGGGACCTTCAAAATGTGGTCTCTGTTACCAGGTGGTCTCCTTATCCGGGGTCGTGTGAGTGGAAATAGCGTCCCTCGGTCTTGGTTTCAGTGGTCATTTATGACAGTTGGTTGCCTTATCCGAGTAGACGAGTACTAGTACTAGTCACCTTGACAGATTTTACTGTAAATTGTACTGATGTAGACCTACAGCAGACTGCCCAATGAAATCCGATCAAGCCAGTCAAGTCCACGCCGGGCGCTGTGCAGCCCCAGATCTGCGAACACTGGGTATGGGATGGTGCACTGTCGACATGTCGCAGGGCGCAACTTTTAACTCACGCTCGCTGGATCGGATTTCAGTGACATTGAGCAGAAGACTGTACATGTGTACCTCCGTAGAAAGACCGCCTTCCCAACCAGCTGGTCGCTTCTTACAGGTTGTCGCCACAAAGCTGTGGTCTTCCCTCCCATGGCAATAGAGAGTTGGCAAATGGGCCTAAAAAGTGCAGGTTCATGTCCTTGAATGCCTTTTCTCTTTCCTAGAAGGAAAGGGCGATGGAGAGTCCTCATGGCATGTATGCCTGCCCATCCAATGTAGTCGATCTACATGTATTCCACAAAACGTGATTTTTCCTTGTGCATTTTTCTCCCTAAAATGTGTTCCTAAGAGTCGTCGAATGCAAGACAGCGCATTTTCCCGACCCCCTAATGCCTACATCGCCCCATCTTGTAATGTTACAAGACGACACGGACCGTTGTGCTCCCAGAACAAAGGCTTTCTGAAGTGGCGTAAAGTGTTCGCCGCAACTCGCCGGCACTCGGAACAAGCTACTCAGCCCATCATCACCTTGCACACGAGCAGTGCCTAGTGGGCCCTCCAGCGGAGCACAGGAAAGATGTGCACTTTAGAATCCGTTGAGAACTCTTGATCGAGTACTCCAAGTCACAATGGTATTCGCACGGCCCTTTTCGCCGGGGTGGGAGAGGGGAGAGTGATTCCGTTCGCATGTCATTCCAGCAAGGAACTGAATCCTTCCGTGTCTTTCCTTTCGAGTGCATGCTGTTGAGTATTCCCGCGACCATACCCGTACCCGCTCTGCGGTAGCACGAGGTCGGCCATGCGTCACTTCGTGGACAGGCGAGCGGAGATCGAGACGTCGTCATCAGTTTTAGAAGGTTCGGCGAACCCGCGTCGATGTGCGGCCAACCCGGCATGCGGTGGGTCTCCCGAGCTCAGAGATAAACTCGACCAAGGAACTGAGCTCCGACCGTCCTTCAGTACAGTCCAAGGCTTCGTGTGATGCCACCGAGGCTTGCTCGCGAGCAGAGATCCCCAATGGCGCAGCAAAGTTGCGAGTGCTCCGCTAGCCTTGGTCGCGCGAGAGAGTGATACCGCCGGCGCTGACAAACAGCTCGACCGTGACCAGATAACGAGCGGAGCTCGACGGTGAGAGTGGAGGAGAGCTGTTACTCTTGCAGCTATGGGAGCTCCAATAGTTGCGCGTGATCCCTATTGCGGGGTCGATACGATCGCAGAAGACAGGCGCATAGCTATGAGCGGAGTAGGTCTACTGGCCCCTGCAGTCGGCCCAGAGCAGTGTCGATGTCTAACGTCAAGGTTTGAGAGCGCTACACACGCTTCACTGCGTGAGCTTGAGAACAGCGTTGGAGACCCTGCAGAATGTGCAGATGCAGGACAAATCGTAGTGTTAGTTCACGTCGATTTCGCACCCCTTCTCGAGCTCCCGTGTATTGTTTGGCGAGGTCTCCGCAGTACTACTACTAGCAAAACAGTGCGAACGGCAGCGCTAAAGACCTGGTCAAGCACCAATTTCTTGCGCGAGGCTTCAAAATATCACTCGTAGCTGCAGTTTCAACAAATCCACTATTCCGGTGACTGAATACTAGTATACTTGGGCCTGAAATTACCCGCTGGATATCTCTGATGTCCGCACTCGAATTTACGAGACGTTTGCGGAGAGGCCACGCACTTCTCTGCCTCTTTTCGTTGTCGAAAATAGAAGTACAGTGACGATCGGCGTGGCTTGCATTTGGCAAAATTGATTGGCCTAACGGCAAGAAGAAAGAGAAGGGAAGATGTTTTGCCAGGCACATTGTTCCATCTTCCAGCAGTGGTTATGGGCCGAGCACTGGACGCTGATTCGAGCACTGGTGCCTCAGGCTAGATGAGCTCTCAGAATCACGAGCATAGATGCGATGGCGAAGAAGCCTTCGTCGATGAGCAGCTACCTTACAACGGGCAGCAATGCAGAAAGTGGCAGCAAGGATTCTCAGCAGCCGACGTGCACCGGCTGTGGAAAGCGTATCGGTGATCGATATCTGCTCAGAGCAGGCGATCAGGAATGGCACGATACGTGTATGGTCTGCTGTGTTTGTGGAAGTCCACTACGAGGTCTGACAGCCTACTGTCGCAGCGGAAAGCTGTTCTGTGACAAGGACTACGAACGGTAAGCAAGTCGAATTCTCTTCCATCGCAATAAGGTTTTTTCTTGTCCTATTGGAAATGGAGGGTCAACAGAACGGAAATCGCCGCCAAAATGGGTAATTCAGGGACTATGAACCTGCAGCCATCTGGAGATATGCTCCAGGTCTTGTTGGCGGTTCTAGAACAATACGTAAATTTTGATATCAGCCTCGCAGGGGAATGAATACTGAAACATAGCATTGACAGCACTACCCCTGTTTTTGTGCACGCTTTCGTGAGAAAACATAGCATTGGCAAGAATTTGTAACCGCCAGAGACAAATTCCAACTAGGAATGAATTTCCCAGGGCACTTCATCCGGCCCTCCATCCACTGACAACTGCACCAGTCCTACAGGGCTATGAGCAGCCAATGGCGAAGATCAGCACCTGGCCTTGGGCTGATGCCGAAAAAGCCTCTTCTAGGCCACAGGGGATGAAGAAACGTGACTTTGAGTGCTGATCTGGTGTAAACTGGGGCCTCAGGATGACAATGGATCATTGAGAAAGCTAATTCATACAATCATGTAGTTGGAGCAAGACATAGAAAGGATAAAGGCAAGGCAGGACAAGGCAATAGTGCATATTACTATTAGATTTGGGCACCTCTTCCCTAATCTTGATCAAGCTCATTCCTTGTGTTTGCACTTGCTTGCACTTGGGAGTGGAAGCCACGTCATGAAGTGTGTTGCTTACCAAGGAAAGTGCTTTCAGCTTGGCGGGCTCTTCATGCTGGTGCTGGTACTGCTGATGGTGGTACTGCTAATGCTGGTACTGCTGATGTGGTTACTGCTGCTGTTGCCTGCCTGCGTGCATACACATGAACGCCTGTGCTGCTGCTGCTGTTGCTTGCAGGTTGAGTCGTAAGTGCGGAGCGCCCGGCTGCGGCGGGCCGCTGCTGCCTGGAGAGGAGGTGCGGGTGATGGGCACTCGGCTGCTGCACTCGTCTTGCTGTGTGTGCACCGGCTGCGGACGCCCTCTGGGCAGTCACGATCTGTACCAGTTCACGGCGACTGGGCATCTCCTGTGCGATCGGCAGCATGGGCATGGACAGGTACAGGAGGACTTCATCGACCTTCTGGGTCTGGCGACCGACGAGGATTTCTGCGGCGTGGTGGACGACAAAGGAAACTTGAAACCCGAAGACTTTGATCCCGATGAGATGCTCTACACGACAGGCGAAGGTGATGTCAGCGGACTGTTCGATTTTTCCCTCTCTCCAATGGAGGCACACGACAGCTTGAAGTCTTCCCTGTCGCAGGCAAGGGAGTCTGGCGGTAATGCCGACGAGGGTATGCATGGAATACTTGAGAAGCAGGAGCAGCTGCAGCTTACACTTTCAACGAGCCAGTCACCAGTAAAAGGTAAGCCTGAAAGTATTGCACTGGTTTTTCTAATTTTCCAAGTAAACTATCATTCCACTTTGCCTAAGGGAAGATTAGCCAAGCTTCCTTGGCTGTGTCAACGCGAAAAGGCTGAAAATAATGAGAATAGACCCTCAGGGAAGTGGACTGCCCGAAACGAGAAAAAATGCCATCCCTACCGGGACTCGAACCTGGAAACTTGCTTTCCACGAGCGATAATCTAACCATCTGAGCAATGGAGCGATTGCTGTGACCTAGAAGGTGGTAACACGGTTTTCACTGCAAAAGCAGCTCACAACATATTTTCTATACATAAATCTGTCAATTCGAATCAAACCAATGGTATGATGTACATACGCGTATGTGAGAGAGGTGTGCTGGCCAGATTTTCAGCCAATTGCAGGTGTATTAAAATCGGACAGCTTTCATAACACCATACAGTGCTGGCAACTGAAATCCGACCCCTGGAGCGGTGCGCTCACATTGCAAACACCCAGCACGGGATTGCGACACGAACCAGAGACCGCTAGAATTGATGCTGCCCTCGGGCACGAAAATCAGGGGTCGGATTTCAGTTGCCAGCAGTGTACATGTACATGTACATCATAACTCACTTGGGTTTTTTTTACCAGGCGTGGGCCATCCCCTGATCATAGGTGCCAAACATTTTACGTTTTTCGTTCATTTTGTCTACAATGTAGTAAAACGTTTTAAATACTGTAAAGAAAAGGCCAACACTGCACGCCATGGAAACACAAATAACTCACTTGGTACGTACTCGGATAAGACATACGCTTGCTTATTAAGAGCATTGTCTGGAGCATGGGTGTATTGATCCAGACTGAAGTATGTTGAGATACGAAGTATTAGTGCCTCGGACACTAGCTACACTTTCCCGCTGCTCATGAATATAAGTAGCCGTGGGTGGCTATAAAAACCCTGCAACCGCCACGCAAAGTGGCCATTGGCTACTACCCCAGCCATGTATTGCTTGGAATAAATAAATAAATAAAATAAATAAGTCTTATCAGAGTTTACTGTGTCCTCACCTAGTGAATAACGACCTCGGGTCAAATTTTTCTTGAGTACAGCTCATGGGTTTTTCAAGCCACACATGTTTTATTCCATCGCCATCGTGATATAGGGCATACTGTATAGCAGGAAATTTTCGGACGGAAATATTTTCGGACAAAGCCGAATTTCGACCTTTCGCACGGATTATATTTTCGTACAGTGCTGCATGCTAAATACACGTGTTTGCAAGCAGAACACATGTATAGTGTACATAATTATTATTTCACATGAACAAATTTTGTACGGAATTAATTTTAGTACAAAAGAGGCCGCGTACGAAATCGTCCGAAAATAAATTCCGTCCAAAAATTTCCTGCTATACAGTATATGACTAAAATAACGCTTCAAAAATATTAATAACAACTCCCGAATAGGAACATAATCTTTAGACCTGGGGATCATTGGACTTTGCACGTTCAGCCCCATGAATAACGACACTCAGCACTGTTCTCATTGCTTCAAGGTTGACTGCGCTTCTATTCATTCCCTGGACATTCTTGAGGATGGATATGAATCAAAGAATGTGATTCCTGTTGTAGTGTTGCAATATTGACCACTTTTGCAGGTGCAGAGTTGGGCAAGGGGCACCGTCTGAACACTTAGACCCTTAGAGTAGTAGGGTCAAACGGGTGTACATTAAACTAACAAAAGGGTAATTTCCTTAAGGGGCGCCGCGGGTTAATGAGTACCATAATTTCACAAATTTTCGGTGTGCTTTTATTTTCGGTACTTTCGGTGTGTCTGTTTCACACCCAAAATTTCAATACACCGAACAAACACTGCCACACATAATCCAACAGGGAACTGTTTCTCTGTACCGAAAATTTCTGTTCACCTAACCTAGCCTGTTGCCCTCATACCGAAAATATCGAGCACCGAAAATGTCTGAAATTAGAGTACCCTTTAGCAACAATGTATATTTTTGCGCGATTCTCACGTAAATAATGCAATGAATAGAACTGTGTATGTGCACTCATATCACAACCATAGCAATGAATAAGGTATTCCAGAATGTTTTTTTCTCACAATAATTATTATCAATGGAATTCATGACTAAAGGGAATGATGAAACTACAATAGGGATGTACACACTTGGAGTGAAAAAAACGAGGATACAGGAATAGTAAGAAAATAGCACAAACTTCGGAAATTTGCACTGGCAATAAAAACTGTAAGTAAGTAAAGTAAGTAAGTAAATTATCGTATCCGTTCCCGAAGGGAACTCACGACGGCCGCTAACACCCGATAAACCCTAGCGGCAGATGCAGCGCCTAAGGGTGGGGGTGAGTGGATAAGTCTCACAACCACTGGCACAAGTGCCGAAAACGACCCCATCAGCTGCATCCATGTACCCCTTGTGCCTGGCCACAAGTTCCCAGTTGACTGTGGGTAGCAGCACAGCTGGAAAAACCGCTCCCAGGCAGGACTTGAACCAGGTACCTCTCGTATCTCAATCATGGTCTTTGACCAACCCACTTTGCCTGCCTGGACAAGTGAGAAATGATAGGAAAATGTTCTGGAGTACTTTATTCGTTGCTATGGTTGTGATGTGAGTGCGCATATAGTTTTATTCATTGCATTATTTTAAGATTATTGTCTCCACGTCGTCTCACATAAATCATGGTTATTAATTTATCTTTTCTCGAGCTCAGGTTGCAATCCCACATTGTGATTTGCAAATTCAGGGGCGTCGGAAGGTGATGTAGGATAGTACGCTCAGTCATCTCAGGTATAGTTATTTACTTGTTGAGAGAGGGTGGCTCGGCTGAATGTTTCGAAATTTAGAGCCCCGATCAATGCTTTTGGTTGTGTCTCAGGGTACCTGGGGCAAAGAGTGGTACGGTCCATGCCGTTGTGACCGTAGCGTGTCCGACGCCCCTGAAATCGATGTGTGTCTCATGTAGTTGTTACTGAAGTTCCGAATGAATGCAAACTACTTTTCAACTTGACCAAGCTGATCGAAGGAAAGAACAAACTACAACCACGGGCATCATAGCTACCACCTACGGACATCACTGAGTGACACTCAGCCTGGTGACACGAGTTCATCTTCAAGTGCTGTGGCTGTTTGGATGTCGGAGAACCATCACAACTTTCTAGTAACTCAGCTGCCGCCGGGAACAAGTTACCTCTTGTCTTTTTGCTGTTCACGTCATAAGGAAAAAACCAATTATTTTGCGGATTTTACTGGTCCTAGAATGGAGAGAATGACTGCCTTTCAGCGTACCGATGTCTGAGAAATAAAATAAAAAGCCGAAACCAGGAGCACAAAGGAAAAGGGTATGTCCACCGCACTCTTGGCTCTTAGTCTCGTCAGCCTGTCACAGACGTATGTGGTGCGTAGATGTCTATTGCCTCAGCTGCAGCTTGTTACAGAGGTGTGAACATGCAACAACAGGGCAGACATGCAGCATAGAGTTGTAAATAATTGACTCCCGCCTGGAATGCACGTTCCCAGTGGAGTTGTTCCGTACTGGCTAGGTCATCGAAATGCAAATGGGTATCCTTTTACGGCACCTGAGATTAACGGCCCGAATCCGGGTACCCTGCACACCCCTTTGAGCCCTGCATTAAAGTGCTATCCCTTGCAGGAAGTAAATGAAGTAGGTTGATGCAAGACCCTTTCGTCTTTGTCTCCTTTTTTGCCTCTCCATCTCCATCTCTCTCTTTCTCCTTTATAAATGTAAACTACCCTCTCACTCTCTCTCTCTCCTCTTTCTCCCTCCCTCCCTTCCACCCTCTTTTATCTATTTATTTATGGAGTCCCCAAAGGCCGAGGCCTAAGTCGAGGGGGTCTCCGTTCATGGCTTACTGGGAATATATCTGCAAAATTATAACATATAGATTGAGATGAGGAAGGGTTATAACAAATGCGTACTGCACAAATCAGCCATAACATTCGTCACTATGTTACAGAAACTGTGGAAGTTATGAAACCATCGGGTTCAAAGCGGGTGTTGGCAAAGATGGTACGGAAACGAGACACAAAGCAGTGACTATTTTGGGTGGTTCTAATGTCAGTGGGGAGAGAATTCCAGGTGGCAGCGGTAACAAAGAGGAAAGTGGCACGCGAGTAGGTGTTCGCTCTGGCAGGCGGGACAAGTTGGAGAGGGCGCCGCGTGCTGGTGGAGAGACTACCCCTTGCTCCCGCCATCCCTCCCTCCCTCCCTTCTTCCCTTCCTCCCTTCCTCCCTTCCTCCCTCCCTCCTCTCTCTCTCTCTCTCTCTCTCTCTCTCTCTCTCTCTCTCTCTCTCTCTTTCTGTCTGTCTGTCTGTCTGTCTGTCTGTCTGTCTATCTGGCTGTCTGTCTGTTTGTCAGTCAGTCTGTCTCTCTCTCTCTCTTTCTCTCTCTCTTTCTCTCTCTCTCTCTCTCTCTCTCTCTCTTTCTCCCTCTCCATCACTGTCTGTCTATCAGACCGTCTGTTTGTCCGTCTGTATCTCTGTCCGTCTGTCTGACTCTCTCTCCCTTATCTTAAAATGCAACATACCATTTGCATCATTATTGTTCTCTTCGTGCAGGGCTCTGCAATAGTCCGACTGTTCCATATGTAACCGAGGGAATCCCGCCATATGGAGCAGCAGCTACAGGCCGAACAAGCACAGTCATGCCATCCAGGAAGTCAGGTAAAGCTACTTTCTTACACATACAGTCAGACCTCGCTTATTCGGTCCTCTTTTATCCGGATCCCTTGCCATCCGGAAGAAAATTGCTGGTTACCGATTTACAGCATATGCCATGCATACATACAGTGTGTGCGCTCGATTATCCGATTCCCTCGCCTATCCGGATATTTTTATGGAAAACGGATGTGTGCGGTTATGCGAGGTCTGATTGTAGCTTGCTGCTGCGGCCAAACTATGTGTGAGGAATGTCTCCGGGGTGATTCAACTGGCATGATAGACTGATATCTTCCCTATCCGGGTGGCACGGGAAAGGGCACTGAAAATAACTTTGAAATGTCCATGTTCGAAACTCGGAATCATGTACGTTTCAATGGAGAAGGGGCCGAGATCTGTCATACGTGTGTCGTATCCGGTCGGCCACGCGTCAGATCCAAAGCCGTGGTAGGAATACACTAACTGGACTATGCTGTGGTGGCCCCTTGGAGAGAGTATAGCTACAGAAGAACCCTTGCGAACACACGCATGCACGCGCATGCACTCGCACGCGCGCGCGCACACACACACACACATACATACATACATACATACAGGGGCGGATCCAGAGATCTCTACAGGGGGTTCCGGTTGAACCAAAATTGAACAGCCGAAATATTATGGAATCAGATGTGCGGTTGACACTTGTAATAACGACAATCCGATTGTGTTAGTGGAAACCGCATGCTTTTAAAACACACTACGGACATAATAATTCTTCTTCTTATTTTTCCATCATCGACCACACCACAACTGCGCTCTTCAGCCGGCCTCGACACGTTGCCACAGCACACCACCACTGCACCATCGCTGGAGACTGAGTCGGAGCGCAGTTGTGGTGTGGTGGACGATGGAAAACCTGTACAGGGCCAAATGCTGCTGCTTACCCTACATTGTATATTATTTAGTATGGAAGACCCTTTCAACTTCGTGTAAAGATCGAATATGCAAGCCATGGGTACGTTGAGAGCCAGGAATGCCGAAATGACAACTAAGTTACTTTCCCTGTCCATTTGTGCTTTCGGAAAATTTTGGCATTTTTACGATGCGAAATGCTCTATAATCACAGGACAAGAGCATCGTCTTCACTTCAGTGACAGAAACAACAATAGCGGAACAGTGTTGACAATTGTACAATCCTTCCAATGTCATCTGAAACACATATGGCGCAGCACTCCGTTCCTGCGGAGGAACAACTAGTCACTACTGCATGCTGCAGCAGGTAGAGATTATTGACTTTGCTTGGATGTCGGAGCCCTCATCTTGATAGGCGTCAGCCTTTGGGTAATCCTGGAATAAAGATTATTATATTCTGAGGAGCTTGAACTCTACGTGTACGGTTCGAAGTTCGTTGAAGAGTGTCAGTACTCGGAACATCCTTTCTCTTCTGCAAACAACTTGTCCAAGGAATACTGACCACACCACACCGATCCTGAGCAGCAGTGAATGACAGCGCCAATGAAGGTAAGTTTGGATCGTTTCGAAAGATCAAAAAGAAAACAACCACCCAATGTTGTCTACAGTGTCCGTTTGTAAATCACGGACGTGAACACCAGTACAGACTACTATCCGTACAGTATCGATCTACCGCACGCGCATGCAGTGCACTGACTGACAGTCTGTGCTCCTTGACTCAGTGACTGCACTGACTGTGATCGGACGGACGTCCTTTTGTGCACACATGATATTTTTCGATATTTCTCAGCCGCACACTTCGCAACATTTAGGGGGTTCCATGGAACCCCGGAACCCCCCCCCCCCCCCCCCCGATCCGCCACTGACATACATACATACACGCATGCACACACACACACACACACACACACACACACACACACACACACACACACACACACACACACACACACACACACACACATGCACACACACACACACACACACACACACACACACACACACACACACACACACACACTTGTACTTGCTGACTGCCAAAACTGGTCACGTGGGTCTCCCCGGAAGAGGGGAGAGAGACTGAAAAGGAATTTTGGAAAGATGACTCAATTGGCTATGGAACCGCTCAAAGGCCGACACCCCTGAAACCCCCAAACTATGGGTGGACGTGGAAATGATCCCACGCAGAGGCGGATCTAGGGGAGGGCGCGGTGGACGCGCGCCCTCCCCTCAAATATTTCGATTTTCTTTAGTGCATGCACTTGGGCAGTTGCGCAAGTCACATACTGTGACAAGTTGTTTCTAGTGTCAGATAAGAAAGTTCTTCTGAACACGAAGTAGTTGTTTGACTATTAGTTTTGAAATTAGTGTTCAGTTGACGAACTTGTATAGCTAAGTCGGTGAAGTGGATGGCGCACCACCCGCCCAAGCGGCCAGGGAGCCAACAAACTCTCCACGGATTTTTCGCGAAGCGAACTTGCGCTTCGTCAGCTGCTCAGTCGAGCGATCCGTCTTTGGAGGAGAATTCGGACCACAGCGAAGGTCCTGAGATTGAGGTCTGCTCAGACTCTGATCTTCCCCAAATGGAATCTGAAGTAGATTCTGACGACGATGGTGGGACTGTCAGTAGTACTAGTAGTGATGCGAGTCAGGAGCATTTAGCTGTTGAAACTATCAAAGATGACGACGTTGTGACTGTCACGAATGATGTGGCTGGTGGCACTGCTACGCAGCATTATTGTTCTCTATCTCAGCATGTCTTGAGCTTTGAAGCACTATCTTTACACAGTTCAATGTAGTACGGCTATGTTCTACTACAGCCAGAGTCCTCAATGAAGTGGTTGAAAAAGTGGGAGTGAGTGCATGTGCTAAAATAGTAATTCTACATAACCGCTACCGTAGTTCCGCGCATATAAGCCCATGCCATGGGCTTATATGTGAAATAATGCAGTTTGGGGATAAAATATCCAGTAAAACATGTTCCTTTTTTACTATTTAGCCCATGGGCCAATATTCGAATTAATTGAAGGTTCACGAAAAAGTACAAGTCCGTGCTCATAGTGGGTCTACCATACTCTACTGGTAAACTGCACTGACCTGCTGTACCTTGTTAGGAAGAGTCCACATTGTGAAAAATTCTTGTTGACACGCGAGTTGCATTTATGTCTGTTTATTAGCCCATGGGCTTATAAACGGAGGTGGGCTTATATCCGGATATAGGCCCGTGGGTTTATACGCGCGGAATTACGGTAAGCCTGAGACGTAAAATAGCCGCTATGTCGTAATGTGTACAAAATACATGTACCGCATGGGTTCCCTGTCATGAATATTACCCGCGCCCTCCCCTCAGCTGAACTCTGGATCCGCCGCTGCCACGTACCACTCCCCAGTAAGTGGGTGAGGACAAGGTGCAGAAAATGGATTGACGGCATCAGGGTATGTTGTTGTTGTTGTTTGGCTTTATTTAAAGTGGAGTTCCAAAACAGGCCTAAACCTAATGACAATGGTCCCACTGATAATAAGAGAAAAGAAAATATAATAATAAGCGGACAAACAGAACCAAGAAGAAGATACAGCTGTAGTTAGATATCTAATATGAGCACGGCAGCAGGGGAAAAAAAGTCACAAGCACGGCAACCGGGAAGAAAGGAGTGAGTGAGTGAGAGAGAGAGAGAGAGAGAGAGAGAGAGAGAGAGAGAGAGAGAGAGAGAGAATCCGTGCCGGGATTCAACTGCAGTTACCCCTGCCGCAGGGAAGGTAATACTTGCGACTGGTGTTGGTGGCTAAATCGGAGTGGATCTGATATTAGCATCACTAGCACTATTGATTACACAAGAGTTCATCTAGCCAGAAACAGTCCATGATTGAAGGGGAAGTATATGTTACACTCAGTATATGGTCACGTCTCTATACATGGTCACAGCTCTATATATGGTCACAGCTCTATATATGGTCACTATATCTCTGTACAGTGTACAGGCCACACGGTGCACCGCTGTACATGGTCACAGATGATATACAATGAAGCCTTGCTTTCACAGATGGTGCTGCAGTATGAACGAGGGATCCCTGCCTCCTACGTAGGCCATATAGGGCTCCCTGGTATGAACTCGGTCACCATAAAATGCGCAAGCTTTTTGATTTGATCTCTTTTTTTTATTGTAGTTCGAAGGTGGAAGAAGAAGCGCAGGTTATTAGAGTTGGAAAGTCCATACGAAGTGCTTCAAAAACTAAAGATAGAAATGCGGAGTCATTTTGGATTTCCTTTCAGGAAATAACTACAGTATGTTTGGTCAAAGCACAGAACCCAAGTGGGGTGAGGGGGAAATTGCAGAGCAAGTTAATGCGACTGAGAATGTTCACGTCGAGGAGAGGTAAATCATGTGTGTGTGTGTCCGTGCGTGCACGTGAGTGTGTGTGTGTGTGTGTGTGTGTGTGTGTGTGTGTGTGTGTGTGTGTGTCCCATATGGTGCAGTGGTATGTGCAGCGATTTCCAATCGATAGGTTGCGGGTTCGATTCCCGACGATTATGGTCACACACGTCTTTCTTCTCTTTCTCAGACTCTTCCTGACTTTTCTTTCATTCTCCTGGGTGGTTACCAACAGCCAGTGCATGCCGGAGTATGTGGTGTGATGTGTGTGTGGGAAAAAAGAGAAGAAAAAAAAGAAAAAGACCAAAAATAGGGATTCACTGGCCAGAAAAAGTCACTTCAAATAGCTGTATGGTGTAGACCAGGCTGAATAGTGACGGTCAATTCTTCAGCCTTGCAAGCTGTTGAATGGTGCAATCCCAGCACAAGTTGCTATGGCTTCTGCCGTAGCATTGCTATCATCGCCTCCGGCGATGGGCGTCAAAGGTCAAGGTCAAAGGTGTGTGTGTGTGTGTGTGTGTGTGTGTGTGTGTGTGTGTGTGTGTGTGTGTGTGTGTGTGTGTGTGTGTGTGTGTGTGTGTGTCGTTACCCCACGCAGCAATGATTATAATAATTATTATGTTCTGAGTTGTGACCACATACAATGTACTAGTACGATTTCAGTTAGAAGTTGAGTTGACCACATCTAGAGGGGCCATGTATAGGTGCATGTGTGTGCTGTCTGCCATGTTATTGTGCCCATATATAGACAAGACACACTGCCTATGACCACATATAGAGTGACCATGTACTAGTATTGCGACCTGTGAACAATTTGACCATGTATAGAGCAATGACCACATAATTATAGAGGATTGCTGGGCTACTGAGTCCTACATTTACCATAAAATCAAGTTTTCACCAGTTGTACTCTTCGGGGTGCTGAGTCGAATGGTTTTGGTCCGAGGGAGCTTAGACGCTCCCTTCCTTCTTTATTCCCGATCAAACTTGCGCACTTGCACTGAAACTGGTGACTACACCCTACTAGAAGGGGATTTGTATGCGAAATGTCACTCAAAGCGCCATTTCGTTCTTATAACAGCACTGGTGACGGCGACTGGTCCATATGATGTAGTCTTTTGGACGCTGAGTCGACTGGTTTTGGTCCGGAAAGGCTGCAGTGCAGTGTTCGGCCCTTATTCTCAATCGAATACGGGTGAGTAAGCGGTCACATGCTCATTCGTACACAAGTCACCTGGTTATCGTGCCTGCAGGCTACAACTTTTATAAAACGTTCCTGTCACTCGAGTTGTACCTTTGAACCTTTGAGTTGAACCTTGACGTGGTAGTGGTCTCCAGACCAAACCATCACTAGGGATACAAACTTTCCATCTCGACAAACACCTCGTGAACACCAGATAGCAGCGTAAGTCAGTGTCGCACGTGGACGGTGCTGAACAAATGCTGAGGACTGTTCAGCACGTCGAAAAGCACGAGCTCCAACGTAGGCAGCAACACACGATTCCCCAAGTATCGCCGCAGTCACACCATTCTCTTCTTCACATTGTTGTCCCCAACGCGGGCTTGTGAATCACCGTAAAGTCTTGTAAAAAAGCCGCACTTGAATAGAAACCGCCCTCGAATAGAAGCCGCAATTTTGGGCCCATCAAATCACACATAAGCCTGGTTTTAGTGTTGACATACATAGGAATACCTGTCTTGTATAGAAACCTATCTCATATAGAAGCCTGCAAAATTTCACCAAGAAAGTCATAGAAGCCGCGGCTTTTATACAAGACTTTACGATAGATGGTTTGGAGGGAGCAGCGTTGTAAATGGCCAACAGTCCTCAGCCTTTGTTCAGCACCTCCCTGAGCGACACTGACTCATGCTGCTGTCTGGCGGGTGTTGACGAGGTGTTTGTCGCGCTGGAAAGGGAGAGCTTCTGTAAGTTTGTATCCCTGGTGATGGTTTGATCTGGAGAGCACTATATAAGTGGTGCTCTTCAGATGAAACGATTTATTATCCTTAACTTAAACCATAACAGACAATAGCCAATGGTGTGGGTTTCCAATGTGCAACTCGACCTCCTTATTACGTTGATAAGTTTTGTCTCCTCGAGAATAATACTTGGTCTGCGTCATCAATATTGTCGCATATCTTTCAGTTTTGTTTGATGTCGCCAAAGCTCACTTGGCAGCCCATTTCATCCCAAGTTCGGTCAGTAAGTTTGTTGAATAGTGCCTGACAGTTCTAGCTAGATTTCGAGTGGATTTCGAGAGCGACGGTTGGGTGATTCTGATTGATACCACGCCGCATCATAATAGATGATCTTGTCACACTGCGCAGGCAAGAGCAGCACGATGCACAAGAAAGTAATCGGCTTCTCGGAATCAGTTCGGTTTTGCAAAGTGGCCGAGATCGCTTACCTCGGGGATCGCTCGTCAAGCTGAGGTCGCAGTTCCCTCACCTCCAGCTCAACGTTCGGAGTGTCCAGCGGATTGTGGAGATTTACAAGTACTGTATGCGTCGTTGTCGTTCAAAATACAATTAATTATTTTGCAAAGAACGGCGACTGATTTGAACCACACAGGTAGTCGTGCAGCCCACGCAAAGTCCTATGGAGAAGGCTCGGCTTCTCTTTAGAAAATAGCCAGGCAGCGGAGAGGAATAGAGATGAGCTTGCGAAAGCGAGAGAGTCGATCCCGAGCAAAAATATTTGTCACCAGCGCCGAGAGCAGCAACAAGGAGGAGCAAAAAAAGTATGAACCCTTCCTTGGACAATAAAATCCCCATGGCTAGTTGTTATTTTGTTCCTTACCTCCCATTGTGCCAATTTTTATCGCCTCAAGTGCACGCATTGTTGTCCAAAGTATCAGTTCAAATTGTAGAAAGGTAAGCGACAGTATTGATGACGCGGACCAAGTAGTTAATAAGATAAATGTCCATTCCTGGCCTGTCACAGCTTGTCATGCTTATCCTACCGTTTTTTTATCCAGGGTTCGACCTGAGTCCGTGTCTTACTGACACTGCGGATCTGATGTCTCCGTTCACCAGAGGAACATCGCACACAGAGAGCGGGACGGAGAGTCGTCCCACGTCTGCTGCCAGCATATCGCGTCGCCAGTCAGGTAAAGACTGACTGCTGTTGTATGGTTTGCTGATGTGTGTGTGTTTTTTTTCCTTAGGTACTGCCTCTGTGTATGCGAGTACATGTATGTGGGGGGGGGGGGAGGGGGAGGGGTGTGTGTGTACTGTGCATACAATGCATACACTTCTGGGATCAATAACCCTCTCCTTGCACAATACACCCATCTCCTACCAATCAATACTCAGACCTGTGGTGGGCCTCAGAGTGGCACATTGTATTTTTTGGCACAACCTTCGATTTCAAACTTTAACTTGGGTTCCACGTATCATCTCAGCATGTCGCGCAGTGACTGACGTGTCCAGTGCTACCGTTTCGTTCTCATTAATTCGTTTGTCCCGTGTTCAGTGTCAAGCTCGCAGTCCATGTCTCTGGCGACACCGATGGATGACTGTTCGACCGACCTCGGGCAGGACCTTGACCTGGAATTGAGTTTGTCTGAACCGTGCGAGTCGCTGAAGGAAGAACCCCTGGATCCTGCTCAACCACCGAAGAAACGCCCGCGAGGACCTCGGACAAAGATAACTGAGAAGCAGCTACGGTTGTTGAAAACTGCGTATGATGAGAACCGGCACCCTAGCAGTCAAGTGCAAGAACGATTGCAGGAGGATACCTTACTGACACGCAACGTTATCAAGGTCAGCTATGGCATAATGTGCTTGGCATGTATGTTTTCCCTCCCCCCTCCCCGCCTCTCTCTCTCTCTCTCTCTCTCTCCTCCCACACACCCTACCAGTCTCTCTCTCTCACACACACACACACTCTCTCTCTCTCTCTCTCACACACACACACACACACACACACACACACACACACTCTCTCTCTCTCTCTTTCTCTCTATTGCTCGCTCGGTCTCGTTAGTTCCGACTGCAGAGAGCATGTTTGGTTTGTGATTCAGTTCGCCCAAAACAAGTGTACCAATCTTTCCATTTGACCTCCGAACTTAGAGGTAGCATTGTTGGCGATATATAAGAGGCGGAGTTGTCGCCAACTTCGTGTGACTTCCTGAGGAAAACCAAACAAACAGTAGAGGTGATCGGCGAGAATTGAAGCAAATGGTTTATGAAAGTTGTCGTCCTACGACTGCAGTGTTGCTTGATGAACACGGGATAGTACGTATGAATCCATTTCCCGCCGCAAGGTTTTGCAGGGCAAGTTCACTACAACCTTGCGCACCTTGACACCAGCTCTGCATGAAAGGTCATGACCTTCATAAGGTCATACGTGTAAATGTATTGTATTGGGTTGTACCTGCCCAGAAAGGGGGCAACTTGTCCCGCAGAAAGGGGGTGGCCATCATCGATGCATACGTCCCATTCAAGTACGGGTCCGGCACTGTGTCAGGACCACTGGGATGTGCACTGTTGCAGGACACAAACTTGACTCACTTGATTGGACCTCACTGAGCAGCACTCTACATTTGAACCTCACTCATCCGGACACTTTAGGCCAGGGTCCCGGGCACTGTGTAGTAGTAGTAGTAGTAGTAGTCGTATTTATTTTATGTATCATCGGATGCCTCAACAGTGATATATACAACTCTTAAGAGGGCCGATAACGGGATAAGTGAAGAGGAAAAGAAAAGAAATAAGGAGAACAAATTGGAATCCAGACATGTATGTGTTGGAAAATCCAATCCATGCCTGGGCACATAGGTTGCATGTATGTCTGCTTAAGTTACAATTGTAAATCAAGGAGGAAAAAGAATTACATGACAGTGGTTTTTGAGAGCCTGGATTTAAACCCCCAATCCATGGAAAATACTAGTCCAGATCATCGAGACATTACCATGCCAGTGAACATGTATAGAGTTAAGAGGGTATTTCTGCCTTTGTCTCATCTGTTCGCTCTGTTCTGCCGTGCACACAGGTTTGGTTTCAGAACCGGCGCTCGACTGAAAAACGGCACGAGAAGAAGCTTCTGGAGGCAACGCAAAGCGATTCGACGGCAGCTGAGCTCAAGGACTCGTCTGACGCTCTAGATTTGCAGGCGAAGGGTTCGTCTCCACAGGATGCTGGGCAGCGGCCCAGAAAACGGAATCGTCGGAAGCGAGGTCAGTTTTTGTTAAGGCCGCTGATTTCCGCGTTGGATGTTGTTGTCCTTTTATTTATAGTCGTTCAACCAAACAGGCAATGGATTCGTCTCACAAGGAGACGACTTAGAAAAGAGGAGAGGGCAGAAAGAAGGGATGTGCCTGTTCTCCCCCAAGAATGCTCATGTGCGTGTGGAAAACATTCATTGGTTTGAGGGAAAGACACAAACGGGAAAAGTCTGAAGAAAAAATGGACTGTCACCACCAGGACTCGAACCAGGGACCTTCGCTTGAGGCCAGTGATGCTCTAACCACTGAACTACTGCAAGTCTACATATTTTTGGCCCATTCAAATTTCGGCCTCCCAGGGCTAAAACACATTTCGGTCGCATCAAATGTTCGGCCTGGACTGCTGCCACATGTACACTGTCACACTGAACCTTGTAAAACAAATTTCGGCTGCAACAAATTCTACCAAACATGACCCGGCCGAAAATAGCCGAAAATAGATATGCGCCGACTATTTGTCGACTTATAGTATGGTGTAGCTGTCATCCTAGCAGAGACCATTCATATTCTTCAGACTTGGTCTGTGGAAAGGTTAACCCTTTCCGTGCTGGCCCCTTTTACTCCAGCAAACTGACTTTCAAGCGCACTGACTCTCCTGGTGTCGTTTTCGCGCACAGGTCCCAACGAATTTTTCTCTCAGTTCAGTTTACCTGGATGGATTTTCATCATCCTGGGCTTGTTGGAAAGATCAGGACCAAGCGAATCTATCCTGGTAGCTCTCAAGTCAATATGCATGGCGGTACAACTTCTATGTCCTGTCGAAACTACTTCACGATGCCTCGGAAAGGCACAGCAACTCGATCTCACATTCTTTTTTCGGTTTCTTGTTCCAGGTCAGCCGATTTTCACTATTCAAACTGCGCTGCAAAGCTGAGATCCACGTGCTTCCGCTGGTGTCCATTACGCATGCGCTGTACCAAAGGGAAATCCCCTGGCACGCAGCAGAAAACTGCGAATGCACGAACAAAAAACTCACGATCGCTCAGTGCCGTGAATTTTGTGTTCACACCGTCGCCGCTCCGTCAATCTTTCTCCTATCGTGAAGAACTTTATATTGCTGGAAAGCTGAGCTCAATACCATTCCAACGGTGTATCGATTGTCGCGATAGACTTATTTTTGACGGAGTTACGAAAGTTTGTACACTGATCTATGCACAGCGATATACTGCGCAAATCCCATGACGTCTATTGACGTCACTAGCCGTTTGGCGTACAGCGCGCATGACGTCTATAGACGTCATTAGCACGGAAAGGGTTAACGCTATCTACGGTTAGGTGCCGATTATCCGCACCTTCAGGGTACGGGGTTGTGCACAGGGCGTTCAAATCAGTAGTATGCTTGGATAAGGTAATGCAAGGGCGTCGGACACGCTACAGTCACTACGGTGTTGACCGTACCACCTTTGCCCCCAGTCACCCCTTGAATCAATATAATACACTGATCTGGGCACTGAATTGCCGAAATTTTCGTCTCAGCCACCCACTCCCCCACGAGTAATTTGCGCTTCAGATGTCTGACCGTACCACACTAAAATACCTTACAACGCCCATACACAGTCTACACAATATAAGACATGCACATCCCCTCTTGTCTCCATTATTTCTCATACTCTTCGGCTACTAGACACACCCCAGCTCCCAAACCACGCAATGGGATTCATTCTGACTCAAATCTGTTGCCATACATCCTGTGCACCATTTTTAAAAGTCGAATGGCGTGTCGGTTGAGGAAACAAATTCTCGGTTCGCATGAGACTCGGCTGGAAGCCGATTTTTCCGCATCCGCACTAATGCCACCACCCTCTAGTATCAAGGCGCAGATGCAGCTCCTAAACGGTGGGAGGTGAGTAGATCAGACCCACCACAAAGTGGTCAAAGACCGAAAATCCCATTCACTGCATCCATGTTTCCCGCGTGCCAGGCCACGGGTTCCCAAGTGATTGTGGGGCACAGCATGGCTGGAAAAATCCTTCCGCTTTGGGTGGCTGTGAACATAACACCAAGCAGGACTTGAACCTGTTTTCTTTAATCATGGTCTTAGACCATGCCACTATGGGTGCATTCGAACTGTCACTCATTGACTTTTCGAGCAGTTTCGTTATTCTGAAGAGGTTGCCTTTTTGGCCTCTTCTGAAAAACGAAACTCCTCGAAACTCCACAACCTCATCCGATGGGAGAGGTGGACTAGTTCCGAAGAGTTTGGAATAGCTACTGTAGGTCGACAAATTTCTGTCCATTCAAATTTCGGCCTCCCAGGACTAAAACACATTTCGACGGCAACAAATTTTCGGCCTCTACTACAGCTGCCTGTACACACTGTCACAATGAACCTTGCAAAACAAAATTTCGCCTGCAGCACATTTTCGGCCAAATCGATCCGGCCCAAAATAGCCGAAAATAAAATTTAATATGCGGCGAAAATTTGCTGACTTACAGTAGGTGGAGATGGATTTGTTGGTGTGGTGACTACCGGACTACGCCGACTACAGACTGCTGACTGCTTCTCCATGTGTGGTGTGTGCTTGGCTGCGTGTGCTTGGCGTGTGTGTATGCGTTGTGTATATGCCTTGTGTGGCTTGTGCTCGGCGGCATGTGCTTGGCGTGTGTGTATGTGTTGTGTGTGTGTGTGTGTGCAGACCTGGAAGCGGCCAACAGCGCGGTCAGCTCCACGACCAACAACCTGGAGCTGGGATCGGTCACCGTCAGCCAGGCCTCGCCGGGACTGGACAGCTCGGCCAGCGTCGGCGGTAGGCCCGTCACCACAACCTCGGCGTCCAGCGCTACTACAGTGGTGTTGGCGGCGGCCAGCACCTACACCGGCGGAGCTGCCGCCGCTTCGCACATCAAGGCCATTGCCAACATCTCCACTCTGTCGGACACAGCAGAGGCGGCGAACACGGCGAAGGCCGCGTCGGAGACGACGGCAACGTTGAACACGGAAGCCGCGTCCGTCTTGTGAACTTCACGGCAAGTGCTACAGAGGATGTGGACAGGACTGAGGCAGCGAACATAGCGGCTTCATCGGACACAACGGCAACGTCGAACACGGAAGCCGCATCCATCTCGTGAGTCTCACGCCATGTACTACAGGGAATCTGCTTCGTTTGCTGACAACGCTAAATCTCTCGTCGAAATCGCAACCATCTTCTGGATGCTGCATTGAAGGCGACGGCCACTGTGAAATGGATTGTCCCGGAAGTTTTGGGGCACGGTCTTGCACCCTGTGGCCAGCGTGAAGGATGATGAGAGCAAGTCTGCAAGTAACCCCCCCCCCCCCCCAAACCCCTCTCTCACTCACACCTGGCTCGCATGCTGACAATGTTGTTGCTGGCATTGGTCTGTCATCTCCCTCAGCAGTTCGTCGCCGAGCATGCAACGCACAGTGTCGAACATGGTGGCCAGGACTCATGAAAGTGACAAAGAGTACTACAGTTCCGTCACTCGTTCGGCATCAATCTCGCGCGCTCCAGGATAGGTGCCGTGAAGCAATAAGTACCTGCATGAATACCTGCTGGCACTAAGTGTTGTCCAACTTCCAGCCATCTCTCAAAGTAAGCGATACATGTGCCTCGTCGCTTATCAGACCGCCCAGTCTCACGGTACCGTCGTCAAACCATCTCTTCCGCTCGTTGTAAGCTCATCAGAAGAGCTAAAAGGTGGTTTACTAGACAAGAAAACGATGCTCTACATAGTCTCGCCCCTCAGTGCATGTGTTGGGGGTAGGTGGGGGTCACATAAGATATAATTGAGTTTGGGAGCCTCCGAGGTCTCTCCCATCAACCGCTCCTCGCGACAGTGATTTCAAGGCATCCTGACGAAGGCCATCGTACGCGAGCATTGAGCGCTATCACGAGTGAACGACCTGCGAGGGGTCTGTTGCTCATCGTGCCTGTCATGATCGTGTGCCACCGTTGGCGTGAGCCGGCCGCTGAGGCAGGAACACGTGGTCACCATGCTGTGTTCAATGCGGGCTGCTTGGTGTTATCAGGCTCGCATTGAGTGCTATCACGAGTGCTATCACAAGTGAACGACCTGCGAGAGGTCTGTCGCTGATCGTGCCAGTCATGAGCGTGTGCCACCACTGCTCCGAGCCTGCTGCTGAGGCAGGAACACGTGGTCACCATGCTGTGTTCAATGCCGGCTGCTTGGTGTTATCAGTCGTGCCGGAACCTGTACGGTTGGTGAGGTTATCACCGGACCAACCTTGAGGACACCGACCTGTGTTTACCAGCGTGGGGGGCATGTGTATCTGCCCTAGCATACACAATGTATGAAAGATGTTGCTCTCGGACCAATCAAAAACTGGTTCCGTTGGTTCTGGATGCTATTAGATCTTTCCAGCACTGAGCACACACCGGATATCTTGTTAGTGTGGCTACCTGATCAATGTTCTTTATTCAATGCTGGCTGCTTACTAGTACGTTGTTGGAGTGGCTTCATGTTCAATGTGCTGTATTCAATGCTGGCCGCCAGATTTTACAATCAGGTCTGCGACGTCGAGCGCACATCAGATACCTTGTTCGAGTGGCCAACAAGAAAGACCTGCACCCATCATCATTCATCTCTGGTACGCCGAACTCTCACGGCCTTCTACTATAAACGGCTGAGGTTTTCATGTTCACACCCAGATCCATGCGCCAAAGTGGACACATGCTCAGTCCCGACAAGACACACTGAGTCCCGATTTGATGCGTTAGAAAAAGATCACTATGTGAAATACCTTTTTCCGAAGACGCATCAGTATCTTACCCGAGCAGTTGACTCAAAGTTAGAGGGAACCTTCTGAAGTACTTCCCACTCCTGTTGTTGTTGTTGTTGTTGTTGTTGAATTCTTTATTCTCACGATGGCACCATCGCCAATAAGAGATTTGTTGTTGTTGTTGTTGTTGCTTTTGTCAATTTCTTGAAATGTTGAAGCAATCACTTGAAGCACTGCTTTCAAATTTAGTTCATCTGTGTACCCTGAAAGGTTTCTATTAATTATTAGGCCGTTTTGCTTTTTTAAATCTTTTTTCGTTAACAATTTATCAAGAAAGGGGTTTCCTTTTCAACTTTCCTTATATTTGGCTCCCCAGCTTCATGTCACTGTTTGAAGTGTTTCGTTGTGGTTTATCGAAATGCAGTTTGACTATTGGGGAGGTTTCGCTCTACGTAATTCCGTATGAAAATCCGTATGTTGTACAAGCCGGGGAGCGAGGGCAGCTTTCATGCTCAAAATTCTCGACTGATTTCCACAGGAAAGCTCTTTCCTACGTTGCGTCCTCCGTAGGACTTTTTGAAATATTTTTTGCATTTTCCGGATTTGTCCATGGCAACGTTCACGCCGCGCGAAACAAAAGGTACACACCTCAAATCACCATCAGTCACCACCACACCAAGGTCGTTGACGCTGCAAATA